TGCGTGAGTGGCAATAACTCTCCTTACCAGCAGGCGGCGGTAGTGTGTATTCATCATTCAAAAGAGGCAACAACCGGAACAACCGGAAGACAGAGAAGAAGAACAGACTCCGTGATATAAACAAACAACAAATAGCGTTTTTCTTTCCATTTTCACTCTCGTCCATTGAAAACATGAACGAACAGGAGCTCTATAAACCGATGAGGTGAAATAGCCGTCCGTGTGTGTTCCATCTTCCATTTTAAATCATTTGTTTACCTCCCTCACTTCCGTTAACGCTTCTCATGCACTGATTCGCGAGCTGAACAGCCAATCAGTGTTATCCCTTTGTCCGACTTCCGGTGGTGTTCCCGACGCCGATTCAAGAAAAGGCGTCAGGTCGGCAGAAAAGACCCGACGGTGCGCCGCACACCACTCCGAATAGGGCGTGCCCACGCCCATGTTCGGCCCGACTCCCATTTACTGCCGATTTCGGGCCGGTGTATCTGGGCCTTTAAATGCATGATCTGTTTGGTATTTTGAAAAATGAAAAGTATAAATATGCCTTATATAGGTATGGTCCTACACTATATTATTCAAATATAGCATGATTGGTCCACTTTAAGTGAAGTCATCTCTTTCGACTCCACTTCGAGCGATAGAACTATTAACAAAGCACTTATATACTAATAAAGGACTGGCTTATAAAGCCAGTTGAGTAGCACTTGGAATGTTTGGCTCTATGAAACCTGATGTACTTATATGATTAGGTTTTCTTCAAGTGTGTATCTTCTTGGTCGAACGCGCTTATTGTAAGTCGCTTTGGATAAAAGCGTCAGCTAAATGCAATGTAATGTAAAAAGTGATTCCCTGAGCGACCCATCAAGACAATTATCTATTTTGTGTTGTTTATAGATTACAACCACTCAGTTCAGTCAATAAAATACACATTTTCTTTATTTCAGATCAAGACAATAAAAGTGCAATAATTTTTATTTGAAATCATATGTCTACAGCAATGTTATTACAAAGCCCAATTGGAGTTATTAAAGCGCTGACAAAAATGTGATGATTTGGTTAAAAATCAGCTTATTTAAAAAATGATATAAAATCAAGCTAGTAAGCAGTCAGGTGTGTGTGTCTTCCTGTGAGGACGTGAGAGTCAGCAGATAAGAGTTGATGTGCGGCAGCAGCTGCCAGTTATCTGTGGCCACGTTAAAGTGCACGGTTTCCTCCGAGCGGATCCTCAGCAGCAGGTGAGACTGCGGCGGGAGGAAGAAGAGAACTTTGATCTCCTCTTTATCCGACGGATCTGATACGAGGTAGGGGAGGAAGTGTTTCTCCACCAGGGTCTTCAGAGCCTCCTCCTGCAGCTGGCAGCAGAACAGACTGGTAGCACCTCCTGTTGGCTCCTCACGGCTCATTTCATCCCAAAAACCATCGAACAAGCTCAATCTGCCGCCTCGTCCCCAGGTTTCGGGGGCGGGAAGAGGCAGGAACGTCTGCTGGAAAGCTACATGGACGTCTGGGAGATCTGTGAGCCAGGAAAAGCCGTCCTGGGCGGTGAAGATGGCGCTGGCGTGGAGGGAGGTGGGTTGGGGTCGTCTGGGTTTCAGCCTAAGCTTTACGCTAGGCGGCGGCCTCTCTCTGAACACACACGGGACGCTAATGTCTCCCAGCAGCTCGTAGTGGTCGTCCGTGAGGCTGAAGTGGAGGCGGATACTGAAGAGCTGATCGAAGCACGAGTCTGCACTTTCGCTGTGAGTCAGCTGGTAGTTGAGGGGGATTTCTGAGGCGAAGCCAGGGACGTCAAACTGGGCTCTGTACTGTTCAAGCGCTACGGACGCCTCCTCGGGGTTATCCTCATTTAGGTTTAGTCCACTTCCTGTTTCAGTTTGTGGCTCCTCCACCAGCTTTAGGATAATTTTCTTCGCCCGGTGGACCGTCAGCAAGCTGGTCAACCCTTCGCTTTCCGCCACGATGCAGGAAAACGTTCGTTTCTTGGCCTGGCCGCCTCCCTCGCCGTATCCCTGCGACAAAACCCCGGCCAGCTTGTCCTTTGACAGCGTGGTCAGCAGGGTGTAGTAGAGGCGGGCGTGATCCCGGATGTCCGTGTCTCCGTAGCGACTGGCGAGATGCTGCAGGACGTCGGCCAGCGGGATGAGCAGCTCGTCGAAGCCCGGGTGGACCAGGAGGCGGCGGCAAACCCCGAGGAGGAAGTTCCCGAGGCGCCAGTCGCCTTTCACGCACAGAGACGAGGAAGTGATGATGTGGGACAGGAAGTCGACGGTGCTTTGCTGCTTGATTTCTCCTTCCTCCGCCACTCTTGCTAAGATCTTGAGGTGCCAGCGCAAGTCTTTTGAGGTGAGTTCGGCGTCAGTGATGGCTCCTTGAAGGGCCATCAAAAACTCCGTCGCCCAGTTGGACTCGGACAGCTGCTCCTGGATGTGGTCGGCTAAATTGATGAAGTGCGGCGCCAGGTGGGTGTGACGAAGGTAGAGCGAACAGAGTTCTTCCATCAGGCTGTGGGAGAAGCGCTCCACGGGGAAGAAGTAGGAGAGGAAGAGGAAGGCGGCTCTGAAGAAGGTGACCACGATCTCCCGGCTGCCTCCATTATCCACGATTCGCAGCAGTGAGGTCAGGTGATCGTAGAGGTAACCCAACCCCCTCCCCTCTTCTTCCTCTTCATCCTCTTCCTCCAGGTAGACCAGACACAGCAGGTGGAGGCGGGCTAACAAGGTGGCGCTGTCGTTGAACACGGTGGGCACTAGGACCGAGGCGAGCCGCGGGGTCAGCAGCACGGGGAGGGCGTCGTCGCCGCACCCGATTGGCCGGTTCTCGGGGAAGCTCAGGATGCAGTCAATGTAGAAGAGCTTCTCGGGGGGGCTCAGCAGCGGGTGCTGGGAGAGAACCACCAGCCGCTGGAGCAGGAAGGCTTCGTCTTCGGCGCTGAACAGACTGTCTGTGAACGCACTCTTCATCAGCAGGGTGGAGTGGAAGAGGCACACCTGAGGGGAGAGACATCAATTATTATCATGCCAAAACATAAAGCTGATTTTTATTTGATGAAAACTAAAATAGTTTAAAGTGGACCTATCATGCTATATTTGAATAATATAGTGTAGGACCATACCTATATAAGGCATATTTATACTTTTTATTTTTCAAAATACCAAACAGATCATGCATTTTAGCCATTCCTCATTTCGCTCAATTTAACACTGTCTTTGCATCATGGGCTGATTCTGTGAGAACAGCACCATCTACAGGCCTGCCATATGTACTACAGCGTCTCCAGCGCTTTCCAACGGCAATGTCCGTGGCTGTCTCCTCCTGATTGGTGGAGTTGGCCCAATAGCCGTAGCACCACTTCTGTGACGTCACAGAAGTGTTCAAATCTGGATCAGTCTGTATCAGATCCGTTGCAGCCCCTTTTTAAGAGATTTGGGTATGGAGGAAAATAGAGAGGGTTGTGTTTTCTGACACTTGGTGAGTTCCCTGGAACACCGGGGACACATATTCATGTAGAAAAGACGTACAAAAGTGCATTTTGCA